CGCGATGTTTCTTTGAAACTGAAAGGTAGTGTATACTGCGCCAATATGCAATCAGTTCTATTTCAGTGGCGTTCGTGCATCTTGTCGATTTTTCTGCAAAATTAGTGCAATGAAATCCTAAATTTTCTCTTCGATCTTACTTCCAACCTTTCCTGTCTTTCTCCTCATGTTCATTCAAATGGGCAGCCAAATACAGCATCCAAAACCGGTAGTGCATGGTTAACGATTGTAGAAACTGAACTCTACTTTCGGTTGCGAGATCTTTGATTTGCCCGTGGGAGATATTGCCTAGAAGTCTTTGACTGCCGATGTTTACGTAGTTTGGCGCGGGTTGGATGGAGTGGACGTGTAAGCAACTGTAAGGTAAGTCGTCGCTTATTTGGCAATGATTCGATCGCGAATTCGTTGTCCCATCGAATTCAGATTAGTCGGCTTCTGTGGTTAGGACACGTATGGCGCATACCCAACTATTGTCTACCGCGCCGCGCCTTATTCGCAGTTGCGCCTCCATGTAGGAAGAAACCACATGGAGGTCAGCAGATGACGTGGAGATGAGGCATGAAGAAATGCACAGAGCCATTAGGTAGAGTGGGTTGCCTTCCAGGTTGGGGTCCGAAAGACTATAGCTAGTTGGTTGGAGACATCGAAGGATATAACATTGAAACGGCAGCAGTGGTGTTCCTGTTATATCTTATCAGGCCAGAATACTTGAAACGGTATGTATGCAGAGTTCGATTGTGCACTGTGTTGACCATAGGAGGTCATCTTCCTCTCCGTCTCTCAAAATAGGTCCATCCCATCCATCTTACATTACCTCACTGGTATCATACTCCGTCGATTGTCTGCCGCACGTGAGCGGTGTACGCGTGAGAACCAGCCTGGTTTCAGACCTGGTCGAGGTTGTATCGACCACATCTCTCTTCGTCAAATTCTTGAACATAGACACTCCTTTCGTAGACCCACCATTTCTATCTTCCTCGATCTGAAGACAGTTTTCGACTCAGGCGACCGCTCTAAACTCTGGCGCTGCCTCGCTCCAAAGGGTTGCAACGGCGAGCGTTGTTTACCGAAGCAGGTAGCGGTTGGCAAAGGGTGACCAATCAAAGACCTGGCATGAGGGTACGAAAATCCTAACCGAAAGACTAGGTGACTTAGGCCCCGTTAGACTCCCTGGCTGGGGACCTCGGGATGATGGTCACCGATGGTTAGATACACTGAGTGATATGGCTAGATGTAGCAAATAGTGGCGCTCGTGCATCCACTCGTTATTTTTCTAACACCACTCTGCATGTAAGATGTAGCAAATAGTGGCGCTCGTGCATCCCACTCATTTTTGCCCTAACACCATTCTATATAAAATCTCCAACTTCCGTTTAAATTTGCTTTCAGCATTCCAATCTTCTTTCTGCGCTTTTATCCAAATGGGGCACCAAACGACAGCAACCAAAACCGGCGCACGATAATGCATGGTTAATGGTGGTAAAAACTAACTGACACTGAAACATGACAACTTACCTTCTATGCATTGCGATTATGACTGCGATCAGTGAAGTTCACTTCACTGTATTTCACTGCACGATGATGATGGTGATATTTTTGAGTTGTAGAAACGCTGGCAAGGCCGTTTCTATACACCTTGACATTTTCCCCAGCTTGTTCGTTGGGTAGGATAGTGAACCCAAGGTACTTGAAGCCCGACTGTTCAGTTGTATGGCTCATCCCGTATGATCAGAGTGTTTCCCAAACATTGTGATCTTGGCATCTTTGATCTCCAGACCAATGTCCAAAGCGTATCCATTGATGCGATCACGAGACGTTCGTAAGTTTCTCTGCAAACACCGGTACACCATTATGAGCTTAGGGTCGGCGATCAAGCTGTCCGTGGAATCTCGGAGGCATTCCATCGCCTGATTCATGCATGGCCCAGTCGACAGCAAAAGTAAATAACACTGCATATAGCGGACATCATTTTCGCTCTCTTGACCTCAGTGAGAAAGCATGGGACTCCTCGCTGCCGACTCGGAATCGAGCTTTTGTACTGGTATAACAGATTACCCAACTTATTTTGGACGCCACCTACAAGCATTATCCTCAACAATAACTCGCCGTCGACTGAGTCGAATTCGACGCGAAAGTCAATGAAACATCGGGTAGTGAATGGTTGGAACTTATAACGATATTCCAAAGTTCTGTAAAGGATGAAAACTCGGTAAAGAACACAATGTAGGTGAACAAACGTTTTTGGTGAATTTATTTTCAGGCATTTGCAATCACATGTGGAACATTTCAGTAGGTTCAGTCAAAAAGGTGGATCAGTCATTTGTGTTGTAATACGTCCGAGAAAACTTCAAATCGGTACGTTGTGTGAATTTAGTAGTCAGAATTCATTAGGTTGCGTCATGGAAATGTGTACAAACAATTCTATCTTCCCTTGGCCAGGGATGTCTTAAAGCATGGATCAATTTTCGCAGTGCTTTGCATACACAGTAAAGCACTAGAACCTTTTTGTATCATCGATTTAATTCTTTATCTGTTATTTATTGCAGCTATTGTTTTTTTCTCTAAATTTTACGCCCCTCTTCAGTTCTTCACTATTGTCCTCTTGCAAAATTTGAGACTGACCTTTTAATCATGGAATAAAACTATCGGAATGTATGCAAAATGAATGCCGTTCTTTGTTAGATGATTCACTCCTCAGTTTTTCCTCTTTTGTAGCTTTTCCTCCTCCACCACCAAAGTTTACCATTGAAGGTGTAGAAACGGAATCTTGTGCCACCGACTCCGTATCGTGCGTTTGCCCGTATATTGAAAAAGGTTGTCGATACAGCCATGACCTACAGACCGCTCAAGAAGAACTGCCTCCAGATCTTCCCGGGAAGTGTCCTGTCCTATCTGCTCG